ACCCCCGCCCACTTACGCCACGTAGCAACCATATATTCGATGGTGGAGATCGCCCCGAGGGTGCGGACAATCGGCGCAAGAGATATCTTCAACCGCGTAGCCCAACTTGGCCAATCTCCACTTGGACCGCAAGCTCTGCGCGATGAAAGCCACGAGCATGGCGCGTTCAGGCTGCGACAACACACTGCTTGGAGTGCGAAGCTGCTTGCGCGCTGCGACGTCCGAGATCTCGCCAGGGTGGTCGAACTTCTTAGCCGCCTTCATAGACGACATCTGCATCCGAGCTGCCCGACGATCACAGAACACTTTAGAACGGGAAGTCGCAGTGATAACTACTTCCTGACACAGGTGGTCCGCCCAGACAAAGGCGTTGACGAACGTCCAAGACGCCCTCCGAAGAGAGGCAAGCGCAGCTCCAAAAGGGCCAGTCACCTGGTTCCAAATCCGAAGCGGATGGTCCAGGATGGGCAGGGCGAGCTCCCTCAGACGTGGCAGCGAGGGTGGCGCGTCGTGGCCTTCCAAACCAGACATGTCCAGGTGATCGCGGATCCCAGCGCCAGGCGGTACGCGGGGTCCTGGTGGATGAAAAGAATCAAGGTCCTGAACCTGGATGGGCACGCGCTGCCCGCAGTCTGCATGGAGAAAGACTATGCCGACGCAGCTCCCCGAGTGCCCGACCCCGCCACTCCGGCCCCATAATATCCGAACTGCCCGGGCCCGCTGATGTGGAACCGCTGTATGTCTACACCCCCCCTTCCTTACTGCAACTAACCGTCTCTTGCGGCACTGGAGCTTCTCAGTGCGACCCTTAGGCAAGGCTGTTGCCCCTTTCCTGCATCTGAGCTGTCCCCTATTGGCGTCAACTCCTAGGTTGGCTGCCGATCGATCTTTCACCGTGACATGCTTGCCCATGGCTTTAGCCAGGTCCTTGCGAAGCGAGTCCGGGGAGGCTGCAACAGCGGACTTCGGCATAGTTGCTCCACGCTTCAGCTCAACCTGGGTGACCTGCATGACCTGTGCCGAGCTGTCCACGATCCTGATTGCAAGCCGCCTTGGGTCAGAGTCATGGTTAAGGATGAGCGAGTAATCTACGACATCAACTCAGCGCCAACTGCCCTGCTTCAGAGGCTGGCCACTTGCTCGTGCGAGTACACCTGCACCAGGAACGCGGAGAAGGGGCAACGGACCAATATCCCTTGCTGAGCAGTGACTCCAAGGCATGCCCGTCTAGCTGAAAGAATCTCTTAGCTCGATGCGCGTTGCGCACCGCTGTGAGCACCTGCGCGTCAAGGCCTGCAGCCTCTGCTCTCGTCCAACGCAGCGAGAGGTCAATGTGATCGTCACAACTACTCATGTCGCACATCGCAATCGAACTGCGCATCCCCTGGCTATCCGAACCAGCCGGTTCAGCGCGAACGCTCTGCGCGAACACGAATTCCAATACCGAGATACCTTTCTGATGACATAGGCTACGAAGTCTGTGCGAGCGCTCCCGCGACCTGGCCACTGCCAGCCGAAGCCTGCCGACCGACCGATACAACGACGCGCAACGCCCAATGCCGCGTGGCCTGGCCTGGCCTGACTTGTGCTTCGGGATAGGGCGAATCGCTGCAGCCTGCGGGACCGAGGGGCCCTGACCGTGTTGTTCAATGCACCTGGGGGGCCTAGCTACAAAGCTTCTCTGCTGATCCGAACGCATTTGATAATGTCGAGGGTGGAATCCGTCATCTGGCCGGTGGGCTTTGGCACTGAATGTCGAGCGGGCTTTCCCCCATTCTTCTGGCGTGGCAAGAGGCGCAGCTCTCCTGTTCTTCGGGTCGGCTTCCCAAGGGAAGGGGTCCCTTCCAGAGCTGCTCCAGTCTGCCGCCTCCACCCCGAGGGCGCGCGTGGGCTGCCCTGGCCACTGGCCGCTGGCCAGACCGCTGCTGCACCTCCCCAGGCTCCCGGACATCCTTCCGCTTCGTCCACTTGCGCATCCGAGAGAGACTCGAACTTCCTTGGCGGGCTGCCCACTCTTTCCACGACTTGGGGGAACTGGAGGTACGTTTGGAACGTTCAGCTTTCGAGGCGGGTTCTAAGTCCTTCAAAAAGACCTCGAGAATGCATTCGACGGCTTTCACGTTTGGGGCCTGCTGTCGCTCGTCCGGGGGCGTCGCTGCCGAGAGCACCCGGGCACTTTCAAAGAAACCAATAATGGGCATTCATTTGAAAACCGAGGGGCATGCTTCCAAGTCTTCCCGCGATGTCCGAAGTGCCTCTTCCTGGTTGAGACTGCAGCCAATCGTCTGAGCCCTCGTCGCAATCCAACGCAGCGGCGCAGGGCGCGACTTCCAAGAAAGCTCAAGGTTCTTACCGTTGAATCTTACGAGGAGCGTGCACAAACCTGGCTCGACGTGCCCTCTGAGGGACTGCATTTGATGGTGTATCTGTCATACTGCTGATCGCGTGCTCAAGTTCCATGGCAAGACTACCGTGCGCAGTATCCAACGCAGCTTGGCGAGCCTCGACACTGGCGCAATCAGGGGCGCTTCTCCTTCCCTGCACGACACCGCGCGCCTCCCCAAGCTTTGAGACCTGGTCTTCTAGAACTTCCCAAGGTAACTTCTCAAGAGACGGACCAGAGGGCTGAACGTGAGGAGTACGCTGGCACTTGCGCGACGCTGGGATCGCGTGCTGCTCATTCGACCACGCGTGCAGAGAGACTGGGCAGCGCGGGGAGATGGGGCACGTCGGATCGACGGGCAACGTGGTTTCAATGCCAGCATGCACATGAGAGAGCAGCAAAACAACCAAAACCAGTCTTCGACGTGTGATTGATGCAGGTCGGCTTCGAAGGTTTTACAGCGTCCATATTAGCTCCAACAAGGAACCCATATGACTGCAAATGCGAACTTTCGTGTCCCAATCACCTGCAACAGGTTCCGGTCGCTGAACCAGTTCTTGAGGCTCAGCAGTATCTTCCAAGAACGCTAGACTCGCATGGTACAAGACTACTTGTGTGCATATAGGGAGACATCAGACTAAGCCTGGACAGATCAGGGATTTCAGACTTGAGAGCGCAGCTTCTATATTGCATGGAAGCTTCAATGGTCACATGACGTGCACCAGTGTTGAGACACGCCCGAATCAAACTTGCAACACCACCAGAAGGTGCTCCATAATCATGAGAATCACACTTCGTAAAGAAGCCAAGCCAACCACGAGCGCAACACTACTCCATAGCAGACTGAACTGCCTCAGCATCCTTCAGTAGCGCTTCCTGCAGGAGCACAGTGGAGGCCTCGGAGAACTAATAGCGACCAATCTCCTGGTCATAGTACTTCCTGACCGTAGCAGACGAAGTCGTGTTGAGGGTAGTGATTATCAGGGGCCCGCCGTTGGCCCGAAAATTCTCAAATCTCAGCTTCCGACTCGGCGCCCGAAACATCCCCCCCCCCCCTGGTAGCTGGGCGGGCAGCTCGGTGGCTGGGGCAGCGGCGGGGGCGGCTGGCCACTTGCCAAACGTACTGGCTGGAATCATTTGCCGCGAGACTTCACGCGCTGGGTCCTGGCGGTAGCTTGCACAATGCCATGTATGTCTGGGCAGTCCTGGCGAAGGGCTTCAATCTTTTTGTGGATGTGTCCGATGTCATCGCCAACTCCCTTTTCTCCCCTTCAAGGTATCTCCTCATCCGAATCGGAAGCCTCACGGTCCTGCATGGCATCAGCAATCTATGTTACGTAACTCTTTCCTTTGGGAAGCTGGGCGTGCATACCCTCCAAAACCGAGAAGCCCACATCCAACTGCTGCTTACTCTGGGTGGAAGGCGTGGCAAAATCATGCGTCAACGCCCCTTTCAATCCTGCAATCCAATGCGAGACGCCCTCCGGCTCCCGATTCTTGGGCTCTTCGTCATGCGAGCAAGCTGGGCGCTCAAGCTATCTATCTGGGCTTCGCAGTCTTCACATTGAACCGAGGCGGCTTCAGATTTGGTGACCATTTCAGCTGCTTGAGTTTCCAAATCTGCAAGCGTCTCCAAGGCTGTGTTCATGAGGTTCTTCTGTTGCTGGATCTGGGCCGAAAAGGCTCTGAACTTCTTTTTCGGGGGGGCGATTCTGGAACAGCTTCTCCTTGGTCGACTTCACTGCTTCAGGGGCTTATGTGCGGCGGGTGTTGTTCGGATCAACTGCCCACCCCTTCTAGAACTTGACCACGCGCTGTGCCATCAACAACTCATGAGACGACGGATCAAGTTGAGGCGGAGGAGCAATCGGAATCGACTCGCGCCTCCAAGGACAATTGCTTCCACCACCGACTGCCCCTTCAGTACCTGCTGCTCCTCCTCCAACTCCTCCTTCTTGTCCTCTGCCCTTGTCCTTCCCCTTCGGGCCACCCCACCCGCGCCAACCGCTCTCATCCAGACCTGGCTGCCGGGTGCCGCAGGGGGCACAGTACGGCTTGCGGCGGCTGGCCTAGGTCCAACCTGGGCGGGCGGAGTTGGGGCATCGGACATAGGGCTTGGCTCGGCACTTCCACGAGGACATGGGGCGAGGAGGCTGGGGGCGCGAGGGCGCGCCGAGAGAAAGACTGAACACACCTGCTGGGCAAACGGCAGGACGTGCGCAATGCCTGCTGACGGGCGGCTCGCCTCGAGCCTGCCCTTCGGCTGCAGACAAGTAAGAAGCCGCAGGGCGACGGATTCGCACTTGAGCCAACATGGCTACGGGGGAGGAGGCGGAGGGGGAGGAGGAGGAGGAGCAGGAGGAGGAGGAGGAGGAGGAAAAGGAGGAGGAGGAGGAGGAGGAGGAGGATGAGAAGGAGGAAGGGAGAGGAGGAGGAAGGAGGAGGGAGGAGGAGGAGGAGAGGAGGAGGAGGAAGGAGGAAGAGGAAGGCGGAGGAGGAGGAGGAGGAGGAGGAGGAGGGAGGAGGGAGAGGGAGGAGGAGGAGGAGGAGGAGAGGATGGAGGAGGAGGAGAGCCTCCTCCCCTCCGCCCCTCTCGTGTCCACGTTGGGGCCCACCACTAGCTCGTAGTGCTCTGCGGGCAGTCGGCCAGGGGGCCTCGCGCGACGGAGGCGCGCTCCACCTTTGGGCGCCGCTTTCGGTTGGGTGGGCAGGGCAGGGGAGGAACATTGAGGCTCTTTCCCCCCCTTCCCCTCCAGCACCTCCTCCTCCTACTCTTCGTCCTCCTCGTCCTCCTCCTCCTCCTCCTCCTCCTCCTCCTCCTCCTCCTCTTTCCCCACCTCTAGAGGGGGCCGGGGTCGACTTCGTTTCCACGGGGGTTTCTAGGGGCTGCTGGAGGAGGGGTCGGGACATAATTGGAAGGAAGGGGGGTGGAGGCCATAAGGCCTCCGGGATTTGTAACACGTTTTAGAGTTGGTGTTTGAGGGGGGTAACGCCAGGGTTTTTCAGGGGGATGTCTGAGGGAGCCTGGAGCCTAGATCTCTAGGGCGCCAGGCCTCTCCTCCTCATCCGCCTCTTCTCCAAATCTGGCCTCCTGCTCACTCTCCCATTCCTCGACTCGTCTTCATACTTCTCCTCCCTCCGTCCCCCTCCTCTTCCTCTCGCGCAGGCCAGATCGAGACCTCGCCGTCCTTGGGGGGCTGCGATCTGCGATGCCGTCGCCACTTTGGTGAGTTCCTGGGAGGCCCAGCGCTGGCGGGCGCGGTTCGTGGGCGTCGGTCTCGCCCCCACGGAGGGGCGCCAAGAGGCCGAGCCGCGACGAAACCACAACGATCCCGACGGAGGGCTCCAGAGCACCTGGAGTCCGTGCGTGAGGCGCACCAGGGTCAGGAAGAAAATGCGGGGGACCTCGAGCGGCAGTCGGGGAACAAACAATGAACTTGGAGCAGTGGAATGCACTCCCTGCTCCTTGCCCCTCCTCCCCTCCTCCTCTGCCCCTCCCCTCTCCTCCCTCCTGCCCTCCTCCGCTGCAGCACGGCAGCCGGGGAACACATGATGGCATGACCATCATCTGTCCGCGGTCCGCGCGGATGGTTTGGATCGGCGCTGGGCCCCCCCCGAGGCCCTAGCAGCGCCCCCCTGCGCCGCCAGTGGCGAGCTCCGTGCGCCAGGGAGGGGACCAGGCGCCGCTTCAAGAGCTCCGCGCGGACCGCCGACGTTTCAGTGCATGCCTTTCACGTTGACCACACCAAGGCACGACACTGCAGACCTGGGGACCCGTGCCGGTGTCTCCGAGGTCCTCGAGGGCCCCTTCAAGTCAAGGCCTCTCCCTTGTGCCGCTGCCCCTTCCTGTTCCTGCTCCTGCTCCTTCTCCTCCTTCTTCCCAACACAACGGTGCGAACCAGCCCTTCGACGCGGATCCAGCCGTGGCGCAGAGGTCGCGCGCAGACGCCCACCTTTTGCCAAACGCCGCCCTAACCCTCGATCCCCGATGCACGATTCTCGATGACTGCTTCCTCCTCCTCCTGCTCCTTCTGCTCCTCCTCCCCCCTCCTCCTCCTCCTCCTCATCTCCTCCTCCTCCTCTCCTCTCCTCTCCTTCTTCATCTTCCTTTCCTCCTCTCCTCCTCGCTCCCCCTTCCGTCCCCCTCCCCCTCCCTTCCCCTCCCCTCGTCTCCTCCTCCTCTTTTACTCCCTCCGCATCCTCCCTCCTCGCCTCCCCTCACCTCACGGCTCACCCCCCCCTCTGATCCGTCCTTAATCGATTCCTCCATATGAGTGTCTTCCTCCTCCGCCTCCTCCTCCTCCTCCCCTCCTCCTCCTCCTGATCATCATCGTTATCAGCATCATCACCATCAGAACTATCACCATCACCATCGCCACCACCATCAGCATCGTCATCATCATCATCATCAGCATCATCATCATCATCATCATCATCATCATCATCATCATCATCATCATCACCATCATCAGCAGCATCGTCATCAACACCATCATCAGCATCATCATCAACACAACCATTATCAGCATCACCATCACCATCAACATCACCATCATAAGCACCATCAGCACCATCATCATCCGTATCATCATCATCATCATCATCATCATCATCATCATCATCTTATCATCATCATCATCATCAACAGCATCACCATCACCATGGTCATCATCAGCACCAACATCCGCATCATTACCAGCATCATCACCATCATCACCATCGCCATCGTCATCGCCACCACCATTAGCACCATCATCATCACCATTATCAGCATCACCATCATCATGAGCATCATCATCACTATCATCAGCATCATGAACATCATCACCATCACCACCATCATGATGAACACCATCACCACCATCACAACCACCATCATCATCATCGTCATCATCCCCACTACAACCATCACCATCCCTATCATCATCAGCAGCACAATGATCATAAGCACCATAATCACCTCAGCCAACATCATAATCACCATCATCAGCATCACCAACATCATCATCATCATCAGCACCACCATCATCATGAGCATCATTGCACATCCCGAGGCTCCAGGGGCATTCCACGAATCAGAAAGGGACACTACCATACAACTATTGGGTAATCTTGATCCCTCGTTTTCTTCCTCCTCCTCCTCCGTCTACTTCTCCCCCATCCTCCTCCTCCTCCTCCTCTCCCTCGCCTCCTCCTCCTCCTCTCCTCCTCCTCTATCTCCTCCTCCTCCTCCTCCTCCTCCTCTCCTCCTCCTCCCCCACTCCTTCCATCTCAATCCTCCTCCCCCTCTTCCTCCTCCTCCCCCTTTTCCTCCTCCCTCCCCCTCCTCCTCCTCCTTCTACTCCTCACTCCTCCTCCTCCCGCTCATGCTCCTGCTCCTGCTCCTCCTCCTCCTCCCTCCTCCTCCTCCTCCTCCCCTCCTCCTCCCCTCTTCTTCCTTTTCTTCTTCCTTCTCATCATACCTCCTTCCACCTTCCTCCTTCTCTTCCTCCATGCCCCTTCATCTTCCTCCTTCTCCTCCCTCCTCCTCATCCTCCTGCTCCTCCTCCTCCTCCTCATCCTCTTCCTCCCTCTCATCCCCACTCCGCCCCACCTTCTCCTGCTGCTCCTCCTGCCCTCCTGCCTGCTCCTCCTCCTCTCCCCTCTCCTTACTCTCCTCTCCTCCTCCTCATCCTCCCCTCCCCTCCTCCTCCTCCTCATCTCCTCGTCATCGTTCCCGTCGTCGTCGTCGTCGTCCTCCTCCTCCTCCTCCTCCTCCTCCTCCTCCCTCTCCTTCTCCTCCTCCTCCTCGTCCTCCTCCTCCTCCTCTTTCTCCTCCTCTTTCTCCTCCTTCTCCTCCTCCTCCTCGTCCTCCTCTAGCTCGATGCTCCTCGTCGTCCGCTTCCTCGTCCTTCTCGTCCTCGTCCCCGTCCTCGCCCTCGCCCTCGCCCTCGTCCTGGTCCTCCTCCTCCTCCTCCTCCTCCTCCTGTCTCCTTCTCCGCTCCTCTATGTCGTGCCTCCTCCCACCACTGGGGTCAGGAGGCTGCCTGACTGCACCAGAAGATGGGGCCTCTGGCAGAAGGTGTGCGGCGGGTGGTGCCGTTCTGGGCGAGGCTGCTGCAACCATGCGCAGCCCGGAAGCGTGAGGGCTTCCCGCTCGCGCCACCGACCCGGGAGCCACGGAGAGTCCGCCACAAGGAAACTATCACAAGGCATGAACGGCCTTCTCTAGCCACGGCGAGCCTAGGCCACCAACAACTCCCCCGACCTGGATCCAAGGAGCGGCAGAAAAGAAACGGAGCCTCTCCTGGCCTCGAAGAGGTGGAGGAGGCGGAGGAGGAGGAGGAGGAGGAGGAGGAGCAGGAGGGGGAGGAGGAGGAGGAGGAGGAGGAGGAGGAGGAGGAGGAAGAAGAGGAGGAGGAGGAGAAGGAAGAGGAGGAGGAGGAGGGGGAGTCCTTATTTCAGCGTCGTGGCCGTAAGGCCGCCTTCCTTCGCTTCTGCGCGCCTCTCCGCTGCTACGACGAATGCTGCATGTCAACCACAAGGGCCTTTCCGGCGCCACTGCGGGAAGCCGCCCGGGGGTCACGTGAGCAGCTTCGCGTCGCGATGACGTCGGCGTTGGTCTCTGACACCCCGTGGATCGTCCGACCTCGAACGGTCGGCCGCTTCCGAAACGTCTGATCCTTCGCTATGGGCTGACGCTGGTCACTATTGTTAGGTCGGGCCTGTCCTCCTACAGGCGGATTTTGGACGAGAGATAAAACATAATCAGACAATACTCAAGCGTTGTCAAAAATTACTCAAAAAGTAGTCCCCCGACTATTCTTGACTATTTCTGAATATTCCTCCTGTAGAGGGACAGGCCCGACTTAACACTACTGGTGGCGTCCAACCTGGAACGCCCGCACTGAGGCCACCGCTACGCAGCGCGGCGCGCGAACCAACCGTACGGAGCAGGAGGGGGCTGCCCTTATCCTTCCTTCACTACACGTGCCCTCCTGTCTTCCCCCTCCTCCTTCTACGTCGTCGTCCTCCTCCCCTGCCTTACGTATCTTCCCCCTCGTCCTTCTACGTCGTCGTCCTCCACACCTGCCTTGTCCTGCTCGTCCCTGCCTGTTCCGCCCACTGTTGCTCCATTCCCGTGCCTCCCCAAAAGACGTGCTGTCGGATCAGTTCGAGCTCGATGCTCCGAACGGTCAATGTTTCGAGAAGGTCTTGATGGTTGACTCCTCGATATCTCCGAGTAGGGGGCCACAAGCGAACCCTACCCCTACCCTCCACGACTCCTGAGCCTCAGAAATCGTGGGGGGTAGGGGTAGGGTTCGCATGCGGCCCCCGACCGAGGAGGCCTTAACGCCGACCCTACAAGGGTCCGTCCAGCTTCTGGAACAATGGAGGACCGTGAGAATGATACGGACGCTGTTCCCCCCTCCCCGTCTGTCTGTGCCACTGCGTGCTCCCAGACTTCCCTGGAACAGGCTACTCTGAAGGGGAACTGGGACACATAAATAAATAGACACAAGTAACCCGATTCCCCATATTTTCTTATATGTTCTGGGTTTTTGTCTTCCCCCCACTTCCTATATTTCCCCATATTTTCTGTGAATCGACGATTGATTGTGTCTGTATGCTTTTTTTCCCCCCTGATTCTCTTCAGAGAAAAAGAAAAACGGCAAACACACTGACTTTTGGCGCTCCGTGCGGCTTTCCCGGACCCGCGCAGGAACCCCCCTCCCTGGCGCGCGGAGCGCGCCAGGGGCGGCGCCGGAGGCGCCGCCAGGGGGCCCAGCGCGGGTCCAAGAGATCCGCGCGGAGCGCCCAAAGTCTATGTTTGTGGCGCTTTCTCTCTGTCGAGTTCTGGATGGGCCGATGGGGAGGCGCGGGGCGCTCGCAACCTCGAAGCTCCTCCCGCAGAGGCGCCAAACCAGTAGCACCACAAGAGACGTGGCGCCCCCCACACCGGTGGCCCTCGAGCCTCGCCCCTCGGCGGGGCGCGGCCGCCCCCTCCCCCCCGAGAGAGCTCGTCGTCGTCGCCGTCGCTGCAAGCTGAGAGCCTCGGGCAACGGGTCCATGCGATAGAGGTCAAACAATCCACCCCAACCCTAAATAAGGAACGAGGCCCCTTTTATTCCATAAGTTAAACTTCGATTTCCTATCGAAAACATGAGGAAAACCTGAGGCAAGCTGTGAAACACTTAAGGAACACGGAGCCCCTCCCCAACGAAAAGGGTTCCTTCTTCAGGTCCCCGACTGTAGAGGTCAAGCAATCCACCCCCAGAATAACCACCCCGACACGCGAAGTCGTTTAGCAAACGCGCCCAGAGGAGGAATCGAACGGGGCAGGGCTGTTTAGTGAACGCCCAGTGCCGTTTCGTGAACGCCATTTGTCCAGTCCGGGTGGTTTTTCCTCCCTTGATGCGATGCACAGAGACGGGCAGCAGGTTGATGGATGCACGGCCAAGTCCTCGTCCTCGTCGTCGTCGTCTTCTCGGGAATCTTCTGACCCGGGTCAATTCATACCAAGGTCAGTCAGGCCTTACAGAATCCTGCAAGATCCTGCAAGATCCTGCAGGCCAAGCCCGGGTCAATGCGAAGGATCCTGCAAGATCCTGCACGATCCTGCACCCAAGCCTGGGTCAATGCGACCCTGGCCCTGCAGGATCCTGCAAGGTCCGGCGCTCTGGCTGACCACCGTTTGCATTGACCCCCGTCTCTTGAGCCCCGATCTTCGTCGTCGTCGGAGGCGTCGGCGTCGTCGTCCTCGACCCTCGGCGGGGCGATGGGCGCAACGCGCCTCCCCACTCGCCGCGGGGGAGAACATCCGCATGCCGCCGCCGTCCGCCTGCGGCGCCACCACGAGGCAGGGCGCGCCGCTGCTGTCCTCGGCGGGGGAGGGCGCCGACGTTGCCGACGACGAGGAGGACGACGACGCTCACGACGACGACGACGCCGACGTTCACGGCGATGTCGACAACGACGATTCCGACGACGCCGACGCCGACGTTCACGACGATGCCGACGACGACGACGACGACGACGACGACGACGACGACGACGACGACGACGACGACGACGACGACGACGACGACGACGACGACGACGACCGCGAAGGCCACGAAATTGACGATGGCGTTAACGACGGCGGCGACGGCGAGGACGACGCCGATGACGACGACGAGCTCGCGGGGCCCCGGCGCACGAGGGCCTCGACTGGTGATGTCCTGCAGGATGGCAGCCGGGGCTGCCAGGCTCTGGCGGGCGAGCTCCGATTGGGCGCGGGGCTCGGGGCTGGCACGAGGCCGGCGGGAGCCTCGGCGGTTGAAAAGTGGGGCCCTGCGGGGTGGACCCTGCAGTCGAGGTGCTACCAGAAGGAACGCTACATGAGGAGCGAAGCCCCTCTTTTGCCCCAGAAGCGCCTAGGTGCAGGAGGAGGGCTGGAGGAGCCACCGTCGAAGGACCCAAGGAACAGCGAGCCCCTTCCGAACCCAAAGCGGTCCTTGTCTCAGCGCCTGGACTTTGAGGACGAGGGGCCCTGCGAGCCCAATCCACGCCGGGGTTTCGGACACCCCCGCGTGGGCACCCTCGGCTGCGAACTCTGAAGCCTGGCGGGTGTTTCAGAAGCCTGACCTGCAGGGGTACAGTTCGCACGTGGTGGTGCACTCTCGGCGGCTTTCAAGACGGGGCCCTGCGGGAGGGGGCCCTAAGGACGAGGGACCTCAAACAATGCAAGTTCAGTGTGGGGCCCCTTCCTATCGTCATGGCCCCATCTCTCAGGGCCCCATCTTTGGGCCGCCGAGGGTGCGCAACCACGTGCGAACCACCCCCCTGCAGGTTAGGCTTCGGAAGCGCCAGCCAGGGTTCAGACTTCGACGGCTGTCTGCAGCCGAGGGAGCGCCAGCGGGGGCGTCCGACACCCCAGCGCGGGTTGGGCTGGCAGCGGCGGGGCTTGCAACTGGCCGTAGAATGAGAGAGAGAGGGCTCCCGAGGTCTGGTGTTTGTTCAGGGGGGTGGGGGCAGAACAAGGGGGGGAAGATCCGTGCGCCTCTCGTGCGCCTTGTCGGCCCGCGGCAGCCACTCCGGGGCCCCTTCGGGCTGCCATCCTCGATCCACTCACATGGCCGTCCGCCCGACGCGGGAAACGGGTCCTGGACCCTGGGTCCCTTCCCCAGGGGCTGGCTCTTCAGCCACCCAGGGCAATCTCTTGTCGCTTCTGGGCCCCAGGGAGTGCCCCTGGAGACCGACAGCGAGGAATACGCCTCCAAGACCCCTTTCTCTCAGGACACCCTTTCCTAACATGGGATATGTCTAGCCCTATCCCAGGCTTGATGGTTTGTCGAATGGACTGGGGAGGGCGCCCATCCTCGATAGGGGTGCGCCCCAATAGCCCCCCTGAGAGTGTATCCCAAGGTTTCCCCCTCTTCTGGGCGGGCAAGCTTTTCGGGCGGAGCTCGGGGATTGGGGGGGACACATCGCCTGCGACTTCCCTCCACGGCAGTCGAGGATCAACCTCCCTGTGGAAACGTGAGCCCGCACGGCGTGAACTAATCAAACCACGCCCACACCCGAAAGGCTGCCGCTCCAGCTCCGGAGGCATCCTCGCGGGCGGCAAACAGATCCTCATCGACGCCCTCGCGGTCTGGAGGCCGGGGCGCGATCCCGTGGGCTCCCGGCGCGCGGCTGCGCTCCGCGCGGGGCATCCGCGAACACACGCCCCGTATCCATGGCGTCGCGGCCCAGGGGCCCGTGGATACGGAGATGCGCGCGGGCATCAACTCTCGACGTCGGCGCTGTCTGGACTGCGCGGGGGCGGGGAGCGCGGCATCTACGGCACGGTCCAGGTCGACCGAACCCTGGGCCCGCGCCCAGGTGGTTCCCGCCTGACGCCCTCCCTCAGGGACCTCGGGGAGCCTACAGTCGGCCCGTATCGCCGTGCGCGAGAAGGCTGCAAGGGCCTTGGACGCCCATGTCTATGGGGGGTTTGCTTTCCATCGCCACCACCATAAGTAGGAGGGGGAGTGGGTCCTCCTCCTCCTCTTCCTCCTCCTCCTCCTCCTCCTCCTCCACCTCCTTCCCCCCTCCAGCGTATGGTGGTGGTAAAACAGGCCCATCATGTCTAAGCTTTTCGAGCGGGGCGCGGCCAACGAAACTGGCCAAGGATGGACCGAGGAGGCAAGGATGCAAGGGTTACCCTTGGGAAGGCTGCTCATCCTTACTGGGCGGGTTGACTGTATGCCCGAGATCTCCGCGGGAGGCCTTTGCGAGGAACTCCGCGGAGAGCCCGGGGCTCTCCGGGCGGAGCGAGGACGAGTGGCCCTGTGCGAGAAGGTAGGGCCTCTTGGCATCCGGGCCGCTCCCCCTTCTCCGGGGCCTCTGCGAAGGCCCCCCCCCCCAGGTCGGGAGGGCCTCCGAGGGGAGGGGCGCCCTCTCAGAACAGAAGATACAAAGAGCGCCATATAAGCGTAAGCTTCTGGCGCTTCCCGCGCAATTCTTGGGTCCGCGCTGGGCCCCCCAGCAGCGCCCCATGGGGCGTTCCGCTCGGGCCCCTGGCGGCGCCGGAGGCGCTGCTGGGGGGGCCCAGGATCCAAGAAATCCGCGCGGAGCCCCAAGAGCCCATCTTTATGGCTTACTTTCTTCCTGACTGAATGGTGTCGGAAGATCCCGCCACGTCGCCGATGCGCGGGGGGCACGCGGGAGGGGGGGCAGGAGTGGCAGCAGAAGGGGGCAGGCAGGGGGGGGGGGGGGCGCACTGGCTGCCCGCCTGTGGCGACCACGCTCTCGGTGCGGCAGCCACGCCCAACTTCCGACGCACTGCACGGGCGATGACAAGAAACAAGTTTTGCGCGAGATGTCTTAGCGACCCGACGGGGTGGCTCACGCGGGCTGCCAGCGCGTCACGCCACAGTGAAAGCGAGGGCGCTTACGCGCGACCTTACAGTCGGGGTTGCATGGGGAGGGCACGCGAGAGGACACAAGACCCTTCCGAGGCCACATTGCCGCAGGAGTGTAAGAAGGCATGGGTCGCGAAGCTCAGGACATAAGGGTACACTTGATTTGACAGGGTCGACCTACTAATCAGTCTCGACCTTACGCGGGCAGCTTCCGCGCCGCTGTCGGTGAACACGGACCCGTTTCTCTGCGACGCTCACATGGCACCGCTGCAGGGGGCGCTCCGGACCACCCTGGTGGCCCGTCGAGGCCGGGCAGGACTACCCACGGTGGCCGCCAAGGCGCAACCCAGAGCCTCGCCAGCCCCAGAGCTGCAGCCAGACCGTTCGGCCTCAGGGAGCCCTGGAGCAACTAGGAGCGAGGGCCCCCAGGTGCGCCCAGATGCGCGAGCAGCGCCATGGGGCTGAGACCCGCGGGAAGGCCCGAGGAACATCAAGCCAAACGACCCGCGACGACCAAGCCGATCACTGGGAGGATGAGGTCGAGAGACCCTGGGGCCCGCGCTGTGATTGAGCCGGAGCGACGTCTGGAGGTCTGGGGAGGGAGGCGGGGAGGAGGAGGAGGAGGAGGCGGAGGAGGAGGAGGGGGAGGAGGAGGAGGAGGAGGAGGAGGAGGAGGAGGAGGAGGAGGAGGAGGAGGAGGAGGAGGAGGAGGAGAAGGAGGAGGAGGAGGAGGAGGAGGAGGAGGGGGAGGGGGAGGGGGAGGGGGCGGGGGAGGAGGAGGAGGAGGAGGAGGAGGAGGAGTGGGGGTCCAGGCCTCCAGCGTCGCGTTTTGTTCGCTGCGGGGCCCCCTGCCCCGTGCCCCCCTTCCTCGGGCCGCGGCGCTCGTCCCAGGCCACGGTTTGACGGCCCATTGGGGCGTCGAAAGCGGCGCCCTCACGCGCCGAACACTGTGAAAGACGTCCGCCTCGAGTGGTTCTCAACATGGCCGACCCAAAAGGTGTTTTTCGTTTTCGTTTTGCTCTCGTTTTCCCTCGCTTTTATCTCGAATTCGCCTGTACCGCAAAACGAGATCGAAACGAACACGGCCCACGAAATCACCAAAAACACCGTTTAGGTCCAGCCCTGGTTCTCAACGTTGGAAGCATGGGGCTGGAGGCGGAACATCGACGCCCGCCCAGGCTTCTCCTCCTCCTGGGGCGCGTTCTGGCCAGCATCTCCACGCACACACGCCTTGGCCACGAGGGCGTCCCGAGAGGGCTCATACAGAAACCTGGAAACCTCGATCACCATTTCTCGAGCCCCTGCCCTCCCTCTCCCCCTCTGCGTCGTTTTTTCGCTGCTTGGGCCCCCATGGGGACCTCAACCCTTTCCCCGGGGCCGGCTGTGCATCCTGAGTCTTCTTTCTGACGGGCCCAAGGCTAGGAAACGACCTCCAGAGGCCGAGCGCGTTGCCGAAAACGGGCATCACGTTTTTTTCCCAACCATACTGTGGTGTTGGGTCTCGTTTTGAAGAGACAGCGCCCCGCGTTCTTCACCTCATTTCACCTCCTTCCCCCCTTGCCTCTGCTCTTCGCATGTCTCCGTTTCGCCGCGCCCCTCACACGTTTCGTGGCCCCATAGGGAGCTCCAGCGAAGGCCCCAGTGGCAAGGTTCGCACGGCGCCACCGCACCCATGTCGGCACACCCCTCACAAGTTTCGTGGCCCCACAAGGAGCTCAACCGAAGGCTCCAGTGGCAGGGTTAGCATGACACCGCCACGTTCATGTCGGCACACCCCTCACACGCTTCGTGGCCCCACAGGGAGCTCCACCGAAGGCCACAGTGGCATTGTTCGCATGGCGTCACCGCGCCCACTTCGGCACTCCTCCCACGTTTCGTGGCCCCACAGGGAGATGCACCGAAGGCGGGGCTCACAACTGCGGTACCCACAATTGCATATGGTTTGGCCCCGCCAGGATAATTTTATGTGACGACCTGATCAGAGGGCTCCATCCCAGGGAGATGAGGATGATGATGAGGATGAGGGCGATGCTGATGATGGTGATGCTGATGCTGATGATGACTATGCTACTGATGATGCTGCTGCTGATGCTGATGCTGATAATGATGACGATACTGCTGCTAACGAGGACGAAGATGGTGATGATGATGACGACGCTGATGCTGATGCTGATGATGCTGCTGATGATGATGGCGCTGCTGTTGGTGATGATTATGATGGCGATGATGATGAACCGCGCGTCTAAAGAGGTCAGGAGCTCCTAGCTCGTACTGCCCCATGAGACCGAAGCGTTTCCCTCTGGCCCTGCGGCAGCAACGCTCGGTTTCGTGCTCCTCAGCGCACCCTCGCAGATTCACCTGAGTGCCAAGAGGCCGCCCACCGCCCCAGCCGAAACAAGCGGTAGTACGGCATCCGAGCAGTCGCGGCGACTCAGCCCGCAACGGCAGCACCAGTGCACAAGACAGGCGGGCTGGTACGCAACAAAGCTGCATAACGCAAGCGCCACTTGACGTGCCAAACGGCACGGGCAGAGCAGCGCAGCGAGCCCCGGAGGGGCAGGAGTGAGTGAACCCTGACGTGTGCCGGGCCCCGAAGGGCACGGCCTACGCCACGGGGTCCCTCTCCCCTCGAAGCTCGCAAGCTCGTCGCAGGCATTCGTGATCCTCGGACCCGCCTGGCGCCGCGAGCACACGGCACCGCGCTTGGCATGCCGATGGGTCCCAAGCCGCAGGGCGCCACAACTGCATTGAGGCAGATGCCGCGCGAGCGCGGCAACAGAAATGCGACAAAGTTGTCGGGGCAGGTCGCGCCCGTCAGCGCCGGCCGCGCGCCTCGCGGGCTGCGCGCAGCTTGGCGCTCAAGGCGGCGCGAACCCCAGCCATCAGCCCGTTGTATCTGGCCCGCAGCGCCACGAGCTCCGCCCGCTCCGAAGGGAACTGCTGCTGTTCCTCGGGCTGCTCGGAGTCGCGCTTCTGGTTGACGTCGGACTGCTGCTCGGAGGCCGCCTGGGCGTCCACGCGCATCGGCGTCTTGGCGGGCGGGCTCCGATGCAGCC